CAGCCCCCCAGCTGTCCCCACCCTGTCCCCACACCTGCCTGTAACCCGGCTCTGGGCCCCGCAGAACCGCAACCCCCTGGTGGCCGTTTATTACACCAACCGTGCCCTCTGCTACCTGAAGATGCAGCAGCACGACAAGGCCCTGGCCGACTGCAAACGGGCCCTGGAGCTGGACGGGCAGTCGGTGAAGGCTCATTTCTTCCTGGGCCAGTGCCAGATGGAGATGGAGAACTATGATGAGGCCATTGCCAACCTGCAGCGAGGTGAGCAGGAGCTGGGCCCTCCCCCATCCCCTTCCACCCCTCATCCAACTGGGAAAAGGGGACATTTAGGTGAGACTTGTGGGCGTTTAGATAAAGCCCCCGGGTGGTTGGTGTTTGTTTTCAACAGATGGGGGAAGGAAAAGAGAACGTGGTTGTTTAATGACACCTCAGGAAGCTAAAGACAAATCAGGCATGAAGCTAAAACTCTCAGAGCTCCATAGTCCAGAGGGATTTCTTGCCCAGGGTGCCCCTCCTGGATTGGGGGAGGAGATTTAAGGGCTCTTGGACTGTGGAGCTTTGATAGATGACTGGGTTAAAATAAGATCTGGAGCTGTTGGACCACCAGAGGTGGTCACTGAGATGATGGGAGGGCTGGAGCAGCTCTGCTCTGGGGACAGGCTGGGAGAGTTGGGGTGTTCAGCCTGGAGAAGAGAAGGCTCCAGGGAGACCTTAGAGCACCTTCCAGGGCCTGAAGGGGCTCCAGGAAAGCTGGGGAGGGACTTGGGACAAGGGCAGGGAGGGGTGGGATGAGGGGGATGGATGAAAACTGGCAGAGGGGAGATTGAGGTTGGACATGAGGAGGGAATTCTTTGGTGTGAGGGTGGTGAGAGCCTGGCCCAGGTTGCCCAGGGAAGCTGTGGCTGCCCCATCCCTGGCAGTGTTGAAGGGCAGGTTGGATGGGGCTTGGAGCAACCTGGGCTGGTGGGAGGTGTCCCTGCCCATGCAGGGGGGTGGGATGAGCTGATCTCCCTTCCAACCCAACCCTGAGAAGCTGCTACTGGCTCTGAGCTGCCTCTCCCCTCCCAGCCTACAACCTGGCCAAGGAGCAGCGGCTGAACTTCGGGGACGACATCCCCAGCGCCCTGCGCATCGCCAAGAAGAAGCGCTGGAACAGCATCGAGGAGAAACGGATCAACCAGGAGAACGAGCTGCACTCCTACCTGACCAGGCTGATCGTGGCAGAGAAGGAGAGGTACCCCTGCCACCCCCACAGGGCTGGGCTTTTAGTCGAGTCCCACCGAGCTCTGCGAGGAGCTGGCAGAGCCCCCCAGGCAGGGGAGGGGGGTGGCAGTGTCCCCCTGACCCCCCTGCTGTCCCCCAGGGAGCAGGCAGAGCCCCCTAAGCAGGGGAGGGGGGTGGCAGTGTCCCCCTGACCCCCCTGCTGTCCCCCAGGGAGCAGGCAGAGCCCCCTAAGCAGGGGAGGGGGGTGGCAGGGTCCCCCTGACCCCCCTGCTGTCCCCCAGGGAGCTGGCAGAGCCCCCTAAGCGGGGGAGGGGGGTGGGAGGGCC